CCAATCTCATTTGTGAGAACTTCAATAATGTGTTACACTGTTGTTCGTGACAATTTCACTGACCTGTCGTCACACGCGTGCGTGCTTCGTGAACATTTTTCCATGTTCTGTCGTTGTTCGGTAACGTTTCAACGCTCCGTTGTCATTCGTGAATGTTTCTATGTATTCCGTCATCGTTCCAGAACGTTTCAATTCTCCGTTGTCATTCGTGAACGTTTCTACATGTTCCGTCGTTGTTCGCGAACGCTCGCTCACCTGAACAGCTGCGTGGTGGTTTCCTGGCACGGTGCGTCAACTGGTTCGTTAGAAAAACCTGCGACAGCTTTTCCTCTGGTATAGAGTTTGCTCCCGTAAACGTGACGAAACGTCCCAGTAATCCGCCCACAGCTCCGAAAGTGATCATGTAAACCTTTAACTACAATTCCCAAGGCAAGGTTCATATATACCATTAGTATACCAAAAAGCGAGACGTTATTTCTTTGGAAAATGGTTCAGCATCTAAATGACATCTTATGTTGAATGATGTGCATGTTCAGAGTTTAATACATTATAATTCTGTTTGAAGATTTCTTTGGTGCATGCTCAAATCTCTTTGTCATGTGGAAGAAGAAGCTATGCATGTCAGTGATAATGATCTGCAAGAAGCCACCAGTGCTTCCCTGCGCATGGAAACCAGACGACAGACTGTAAACAAAACATATATGAATCGCCTGAAAGACAACTTGAAGGTTTTGAACCTCAAGCTACGGAAGAACGTTGTTGGTGACGGGAACTGCTTTTTCTATTGCATTCTGGACCAAATGGAGCGTGTTGGGTTGGCTAATATACCAACTGCAGCCCAGTTGCGAAACGATGCGGTAGACTTCATAAATAATCTTGTAAGTGCGGTGGTAAGAGTAATCTAAGTAAGATTGATCAAATGATAATGATTGTACTTCTAGTGATTTCTGGGAGAAAGCAGCAGTATGGCAATTTAGAAGATGTTAAAGTCAATGATTTTTAATTATAGTGCAGCGGACAATCTCTCATATCATAAGAATTGCGCAAATCATGACTAAAGCATGAAATTTCTACCAGTGTTAGTACATGCCATAAGCTTCATTTTCAGATCGGGAGGTAAGGCAGATTTGTCCTCTGAGGACCGTGAGAGGTCAATGACCTCAAAGTATCAAAATATTGATGTTTGGCGTCATTGGTTAATGGTAAACATCTTTATGATGTACAAACCATGGTGTTGCTGCTTGTGAGAACGTGTGATATCATCAACTCAAAGACTCAGGTTTTTTAGTCATTTTACAGAAGCGTCTTTATTCTCGTGGCTTGCTTCGCCTCGCTTCGTTAAAACTGTATAAAACAAAGTATAACACGAATGCATAATAAATCAAGATATTACAATCATCATGACATCTAGCATCATTCTCAATTCGTGTTATAACTTACTAGTGTAATTTCAATTCCGAAAATAGAGAAAATAATATACGGTCATAGTTTCAAGTTCAATTTCTCCGACATAGTATACGGTAGTAGACAAGAAAATACCTGTCTTACGTAGGTAGTACATAAATCTCATAACAACTAACCTCCGTGCCTTCTTGATGTCGCTCACAAACAACAAAACCTACATTTTTCCTTGTCTTAAGTTCAGCCCACAGGCACGATAACCGTGTTGCAACCACATTATAGGTATAACCTGACAAACGGGAGTTTGCCACTAAATTCTACGCACAACAAGGAAACAGACATCGCCGAGCCTGCCTAAATTGCTTTATAAAGGTTAACATCCGGGTACCTTTGCAACAAGTGATTCACTCAATCGATCAACTTTTCCTATTCGACAACAAACTTAACATGGCTCCTCTAAATTACTGAGCTAATTTACCAAAACGCATATACATGTGTTGGAAAATCGATTGCCGTTCTGTATGTACTGCAATACAAGAGTTCGATCAGAACCTGAACACGTTCAACGCAATATATGCTTCTATATACCACATCATCTGCACATCTCATATGCATCATATCGCATGCATCGCATTGCATATCGCGTATCGCATGCATATCATATGCATTATAGGTAACGCGGCATCTGACCTGTTATTATTTAACCACAATTTTCAAAACTAAAAATTCTAAACGCAATCTATACCGTTGGCTCCTCGACGGGGAATTCTTCCTGGTCTTCTTTCGGTAACAATAATACCAACTTGTGGATCGGACGTTCTAGTTCGCTAATGGGTCCTGCACGCTTCCCCTTGTCGTCGATCCTGGGATCTCCTACGGCGAGTCTCACTTTGCGTACGCGACCGTCGACCGATGGAAAGACTTCGATGACCCTCGCTATAGACCATTGGTTTCTCGGCGCATTGTCGTCTTTGATGATCACCACATCGTCTACCATGGCATCGCGTTGAGGGCGCGTCCACTTCTGTCGAACCTGCAGGCCTTGAAGAAACTCCTTTTTCCAACGCTTCCAGAACTCATTTACTAGATGTTGCACTCTCCTCCATCGTTTTCTAGAATAGAGATCAGCACTCTGGAAGTTGCCCGGTGGAAAAGCAAGAGTGGCACCATTAAAATCCATCACGATACCACGCCTAGAACTCACTGCTGCTACCATCGCTGTCAGAGTAAAGACGTTTCTGGATGCAGAACTCAAGCTAGATGATGCTAAGCACATTTTTTGGACTGACAGCAAAGTCGTGCTTGGATACATAAAGAACTGTGAAAGACGCTTTCATGTCTTTGTAGCAAATCGGATTCAGCAGATCACGGACCATTCATCTCCATCACAATGGAGATATGTAGCCACGAAAGAGAATCCTGCTGATGAGGCATCAAGAGGGCTAACTGTACAACAGTTGAAGGAATCAAAGTGGCTACGAGGACCAGACATGCTATGGGAGGATGCGATCTCTAAAGAGACAGAGGAGAAGACAATTGAGGTACTGCTAAATGATCCAGAGGAAAAGAAGTCACAGGTACACTCGTTACACTCTGGAACTCAAAGCCTGGAATTGACCAGACTGAATTGCTTCTCTACTTGGTTCAAGGCTAAAAGAGCAATTGCGAATTGTCTGCTCTTTATCTCCAGACTGAAACAACGCTGTGAGAACAAGAGGCATCAACGAACTGGAGAAAAGGACGAGGAAGAGACTCCAAAGGTAGGAATCTCGGTACAAGACATGCATCTTGCAGAGATAGAGGTCCTGAAACATGTTCAAAGAGAGTCATTTCCAGATGAAATTCAGATCATAGAATCGGTGACAAAGAGACAGGACATTCCTGAGAGGATGAAGAGGCGTCACATAAAGAAAGTCAGTCGCCTCTATGGCTTAGATCCATTCCTGGATAATGACGGACTATTGAGAGTAGGAGGGCGGCTACAAAGAAGTGACGAGGCTTATGAAAGAAAGCATCCAGTTATCCTCCCTCAAGGACACCATGTGACAAAATTGGTGATTCTACACTGTCATGAACAGACCAAGCATCAAGGGAGAGGCATGACGCTAAACCGGATTAGAGAGAGTGGCTACTGGATACTTCGAAGCAGCATTCAAGTGGCCAGATTGATCAGAAAGTGTGTCATTTGCAACAGACTGCGCAGTTCAGTTCAAATGCAGCAGATGTCTGATCTACCATGTGACAGATTAACTCCCGCACCACCTTTCACGTATAGTGGAGTTGATTGTTTTGGCCCATGGATGATCAAGGAAGGTAGGAAGGAACTGAAGAGGTGGGGCGTCCTCTTTACGTGCATGGCCTCGAGGGCAGTATATATCGAGACTGTGAACTCCTTGTCGACTGATGCCTTCATACAAGCATTTCGTCGGTTCACAGCTTTGAGAGGACAAGTACGTCAACTGAGATGTGACAGAGGGACGAACTTTGTGGGGGCTGCCTCAGAGTTCAAAAGGGCATGGTCTGAGATGGACCATGAGAAAGTCAAGGACACCCTATTGAAAGAAGGATGTGACTATGTGAAATTCGTCTTCAATGTTCCCTCTGCGAGTCACATGGGAGGCGTGTGGGAACGTCAGATCCGCTCCATACGCAGTGTGCTGGAGGCCTTGATGTTCCAGTCTGGTAGACAGCTAGATGACGAGTCCTTGCGCACCTTGATGTGTGAGGCAGCTGCAGTTGTCAACAGTAGACCCCTGACGGTGAATCATCTCAGCGACCCGACGTATCCAGCACCTCTTACGCCGAATCATATATTGACGATGAGGTCTACGGTTCTCCTTCTTAACAAGGGAGGCCTACATCTTCATAAATTTGTCTCAAATTCTAGAGAGGTTCTAGAATCAGTTGATGAAGACGATAGAGCAAAGGGCATCAGAGAAATCAATCTACTCCACGATGCCTTGCCGCTGGAAAGAGCACTTGGAGTGCAATGGTGTATTGAATTAGATTCATTCAGCTTCAGGATCACACTGCAAGATAAGCCCCTTACTAGACGTGGAATCCTTTCTACTGTCATGTCCATCTATGACCCTTTGGGATTTCTTGCACCGGTGATTCTGGCAGGCAAGCAGATCCTCCAAGAACTGTGCAGAATATCAGCTGATTGGGATGATACTATTCCTGATGACCTAAGGGGAAGATGGGAGAGATGGAGAGCTGATATCATGGATCTTCAATCCATTTCTATCAAGAGATGTTACAAGCCAGATGACTTCAAAGAAATTGAGTCAGTTCAATTTCATCATTTCTGTGATGCCAGCTCGAGTGGATATGGACAATGCACATACATGAGGCTTACCGATACAGAAGGAAGGGTCCACTGTACGCTAGTCATTGGCAACGGGACTTCTACGTAGACGATGGATTGAAATCCTTACCATCTGTCGAACAAGCTGTAGATCTGATTTCCAAGACCAGGAAGTTGTGCGGATAGAATTGGCAACCTGCATCACTTGAACGATGAACGTGAGAATCAGAAGATCTTAGCCAAACTACCTGATTGGTTTATCTCACGTTGGTCTAGGAAGGTGTGCAATTGGATGGAAGTTCAAGGAGATTTCCCACCTTTCCATATCTTTGCAAACTTCGTGGAGGAAGAGGCCGAGATCGCTTGCTACCCCGTCACATCGCGACAGGGCTTGAAGGATGGAATGTCAGAGAGGATGAAATCATTCCCAGAGGTACGGTCCTTCCCGACGGCATCGAAGCCATCGTACGGAGATATGAGAGGAGCAGAGAGAAGGCAAGAATCAAGTTGCCTGGTTTGCAAGAGTCAACACTCTCTTGACAAGTGTAAGACCTTCTGCCAACAAGACATAGATGCACGAAAGAAATTTATCAGGCTGAAAGGACTGTGTTACGGGTGTTTGAGGGGAGGCCATATGACTAGGAATTGCAGACAAATGAGTACTTGTGCTGTCTGCAATGAGAGACATCCTACACCCCTTCATGGTGATACTTGGAGGTCATCGAGTTATGGAAAGGCTGATGAGAGGACTCGAGACAATGCGGGTTTGCCTAGTGGGATGCCGGGGCATCATTCCCGCTCTATGATGAATAAAACTGGGATCAACTCCAAGAGTGCGATGATTGTGCCAGTGTGGTTATCTCACCAAAGCCTTCCAGAGGAGAAGATGACATATGCTCTCCTTGACACGCAATCCGATACTTCCTTTCTTCTGGATTCGACAAAGGAAGCCATGGGACTTCAAGGGATTGATGTCAATCTTCGTCTCTCGACGATGTCGAGTCAGGATGAGAGAATTACGAGTGAGCGTATCGAGGGTCTTTCGGTGCGTGCTCACAACAGCGCCAGGAAGATTGATCTCCCACCTACATATACTCGAGACATCATGCCTGCCAACAGACATCACATACCAACATCGGAGATGGCTAAAGGTAGTCCACACCTTGCTGCGATAAATCACAATCTTCTACCTCTTCAAGATTGTGACATTGGCCTACTCATCGGGTATGATTGTGCAAGAGCGTTGGCACCCCGAGATGTCATCCCATCCTCCCAGGATGAAGGACCTTATGGCATACTAACAGACCTGGGGTGGAGTATTGTTGGACCAGTGCAGGGAGACTATGAGAAGAGTGAATACGATCCCATCGGTCATAGTCATCGTATCCTCACTTGCGAGATTCCAGCTGACTTGAAGGGAGTAAATGCACAGTCCAAGTACAGAGTTGCATTTACCCAAGCAATCTCTTTGAAGGAGGAAATCACACCATCAAGAGTGGCCAAGCTGATGGAGGTGGATTTCTCGGATGTAAGATGTGAAAGGGCTCCATTTTCACAAAATGACACGAAATTCATGGACATCATGAGAGAAAAGATCCATACCACAGATGATGGGCATTATGAGATGCCATTGCCCTTCAAGAAAGAGAAACCAGACTTACCCAATAACAAATTGGTGGCAAAAACGAGAATGGAGCACCTGAAAAAGAAATTTCAACAGAATCCGGACTACCACGGGAAGTACGCTGCTGTCATGAATACTCTAATCGAGAAAGGATATGCAGAGCCTATTCCAGATCACGAAGTAATTGATACCCCTGCATGGTACATCCCTCATCATGGCGTGCAGCAGCCTCAGAAGCTGAGAGTAGTATTTGACTGTAGTGCAAAATGCAAGCGAGAATCATTGAACTCTCATCTCTTGACGGGACCTGATCTCACCAACAAGCTAGTTGGAGTTCTCTGCCGTTTCAGAATGGAGAATGTTGCATTCATCTGCGATTTCACCAATTCCACCAATTCAGAGTCAACAAAGAGGACAGAAATTACTTACGATTTCTATGGTGGAAGGATGGAAACTTCAATGAAGAGCCCAATGACTATCGGATGAGAGTACACTTGTTTGGAGCGGCTTCATCTCCAGGATGTGCAAACTACGGATTCAAACAAGTTGCCTTTGATCATGCTCAAGAATTTGGAGAGGACGTGAAAGACTTCAGTAGTCATCAAAGTTCCGCCAAGCAACCTGCCATTTCCACAGAGGCACTTGGAAGTCTGTTTGAGCAGATGAGGATGACACGGCTTCCATTACCAGAGCCACCTATCTTCGCAGGAGATCCTCTGCAATATCCAGCTTGGACTCACGCGTTCAACATTCTAATCGAGCAGAGTGGGATAAGACCGATGGACCGCTTCTTCTAACTTCAACGGTATTTGAGAGGCCAACCGCATGAGCTGGTAAGAGGATACGCCTTGATTGGAGACGAAGGCGCCTACTTCGACGCTTTGGCCGCTTTGAAGAAACGGTACGGTGACCCCTTCATCATTTCGAACGCATTTCGTGATAAGTTGGAGGGATGGCCGAAGATTCAACCAAAGGACGCCTATGGTCTCAGGAGATTGTCGGATTTCCTACATCAATGTGTCTCTGCAATCAGTTAAAACTCCTCCAAATATTACAACCTACCATCAGCCAGCTGTCCAGTCCGAGTCACCATGGCTGAAGACTCGGTTCGGCCTTCCAGGGAATCGAAACTTACTGAGAAAAGTCTACAGAGTCAGTTGAACGTCAAGGTTCGTGACTTTCGAAGCTGCATCACGTCATGGCGGCGTGAAGCGAATCGTCTTCGAGCGCTGCTAGGAAATGAAAGTGAAATTGGAGACATCACGACCCACAGAGATGCTCTACAAGAGTGTGTTGACAAAGCAATCAATGTTCAAGAAGAACTCTCTGCACTTCGATTGGCCAATAACGATGACGACGACAGTCAGGAAAGACTAGAAGAGATCGAGGCTGATCATGGGGATATGATGAAACAGACGCTGGACAGGATTATGATTCTCAGAGGAGACAGTCCTTCATCACATGTTTCATCTAAGTCCAGGGCAAAGAAGTCATGTTCAGCAGCCTCTTCACAGAATTTGTCTAGCAACTGTCGAGAAAGGGTCACTGGCATGCCAAAAGTAGAACAGACAGATGCGAAAGAAAGAGTTTTGCCAGATCCGCCTTGCTGCTTGTGAGAACGTGTGATATCATCAACTCAAAGACTCAGGTTTTTTAGTCATTTTACAGAAGCGTCTTTATTCTCGTGGCTTGCTTCGCCTCGCTTCG